ATGGGGTATATATTAGGGTTATAATTGGGATAATGGAAAAGAAAATGGAAACTATAGGGATTATAGGGTTTATATAGGGGTTATAGGGGACATATTGGGGTTATATTGGGATAATGGAAAAGAAAATGGAAACTACTATAGTATAATGGGGTGTATATATTAGGGTTATACTGGGATAATGGAAAAGAAAATGGAAACTAAGTGCATCCGAGGTAGAACGGTCTGCAGGACTACAGGGACTGTGGTGGTTCTGTAGAACCCAAAAGGATCGCCTTGAGACAAAACAGTAGGCCCTGAGTAGACGGCCAGGTTTGGGAGGTTTGGAACCAGACCCAGATGCAGCGCGTGTGATGTGGATGCAGGCTGGATGTGGTCGGGGTTAGGCCCCCATAACAGCCTTTGGGTTCAGTCTTCCTGAGGAAAAGGGTCAGGCATGTTCCGCCGCCTATAACACAGCCCAGCTCCGACTTGCTTGCTGGTCAGGGCCAGGACCGGTAAGCATACTTCAGTGTTCGCCCGTAAAGCCAGGTAGCACAGGAATGGTGGCAACGTTCCCTGCTTTAACAGTCTGAGTCAGGCTGCGACAACCGGAAGCCAGCGCGCGCAAGTGAAGCTTTGCCCGGGCACCTGGCTGGGTCACACTGCAGCCAAACTGTTCCTCGTAGTTTGGTCGGGAAGACATGGGAGCTCGCAGCAACTGAGCCATGGGCTGCACGCGGCATGGATGGTTGTCGTGGCATTGCTTGACGGCCCAGCCTGCGGAGATGCCACGAACAACCATGGCACCTAGGATAATTGAAGTATTGAAGTATGCGTTTTATAGTCAAAGAGTCAAAGATGATCTAGAAGATGATTCCATGATGTTCACCCGAAGAGCCATGCACAAACTTAGAGTAAACTGGCAATCGGAGATCAGCCAATGTCTCCCAGAGATTCAGAGATACGTGCTTCCTGCTAGCAACCTCTTCCATGGACCCATGGAGCACTATGGGCTTCCGGCAGCGGCTTTGACTTTTGCCTTGCCACTCGTCCCTTCAGTGTCTAAGCAAGTGCCCTGGCATTAGGTTCCAGAAAATGGAAGGCAATTGAACGTCGCAAGCCTTGATGCTTAATGCAATATCTGGTTATCCAAAATAAGTCCAGGTAGCATCAAGTAGCATTGTTTGCTTCTCGGATGGTAGTACGTCTTCATGGTGCTCGGGTGGTGTTCCGGAGTAGAGCCTAGCTGAGCTACTCCACCCAAGGAGCAATGTCAGCGGTCTGGCAAGAGTCGTGGCGTCTTTGGGTGGCTACATGAGTCCTGGCATGATGGCACAACCGGGATGTTTTTGATTGCCTGCCTGCAGCTGTGCCAAGCGTGGAGAATTTGCTTACTGCAGGATGGGCAAGAACAAAGCTAATCACAAAAAATCAGGCAGCATTGAGGCTGAAAGCAGGAAGTGCGTTGCTGATGACGTGAGCAGTGCCGAGGATCTTCACGACCGGAATTTTGTGGCGCAGCTGATCAGGTATTCCATGTCTGTTCGCTGGTGTCTGATTTTAGCTGCTTCGGAACCACCTGCAGACATAGCGCAGATCCTCGCACAATGCTATCTCCACTGTCTCTGCACTTTTTTATTAGTGGTAGTCGGGAAGCGCTCTGAGGTTGTCGGAAGCCCTGGGCTACAACGTTGGCTCGCTAGAGGATGCAGCAGCTTTCATCGAAGCCTGCCTTTTTAAGTTGAGATGCACTTGCAACCCTCCATGCAGCTTCAGGGCTTTTGATCGGATGCGGAAAGCTGGCGCCTAGATTCTGAAAGTTCAGCCAGGTCAAGTGAGGTAGAAGCCAGCGAGGTAAGGAGCTCGCAGAAAGGTAACTTCAAAGCCTGGAAACGAAAGGTTAAAGGGTGTCAAAATACAGTGAGACACAGCAGGTTGGCAAGTTGAGTTGAACATTTTTCAGCAACACAGTTACCGCAGTTTGCGAGCGAGTTTCCTTCTTGAGTTTATGCTGTGACACGGCAAGCAAGGTTTTCTTTGACCTTGGCTCTTGCTACACTGCCACGTGCCCAGCATTACACATCTTGCCGAGCTGACCTGGGATGGGGCCTTTACTTGGTTTTTTTCCGGAGCATGATCTTGGCAGTTTCCTGGGGTCGGAAACGCATCAGCCAGTTTCGGTGAAGGCATGGGTTAGCTGCACTGAGGTGTGGACACTTCGATCGCACATCAACTTGCGATTCTTGATAGCTCTCTGGCTTCCCTGGGTGATCTTCGAGCTCATCGGCACGAGGGTCAGCAGGGAAGCACAAAAAGTTATGGAGCTGCGGATCTGCTTTAGAACTGGCCTGTTCTCCTGGAATGTCACATGAATAGGTTGACAATGGGGGAGTTATCAACTGTATTTCCAGCCTGTGGTGCGTTTCACCAACCAGCTTCATGCAGGTGCTGATCGCTAACAGTGAGTCTCCTTGGTTGAAGCGCTCTTTCGGAATACTTTTATTCGTTGCTCCTTGCCAGCCTTCAATCACCATGCGCTTCCCGTCGTACGAACAATGCCCTTGAACCCCATTGTTGTGGAAAGTTACTGTGTTGAAATCCGAGGTTTTAGTAGTTGATGCCTTCGAGCAGTACAGGAAGCGGCTGGCGCTTCGGCTAAGATTGACTTCAGACGCGTTTTGCGGTAACTTGATGCCCCGACTCGAAAGGCATCCAGCCCCAGCAGCGACAGCTCGCCGCAAAAGGCCCAGGCCTGCTCTGTGTAAATCTGAGGCAGCTCTCACTCCAAATTTTCAGATGTTCTGCGGATGCTGTTGTTGGCATTTCACGTTCTTGACCTCCCCCAAGTATCTTGCCGCCGCAAATTCTCACCCTCATACGATTGGATTGATAGAATGTGTCAACGTCAATGGGTCCCAATGCAGGCGGTGGGTCATCCAACTCTGGAGGGCTCGGCACTTATCTGCAGGATGCTTGAAGGTCTAATGGTCAAAGCACTGCTCTTAGGAGCAAACGATGCGGTGCCGGCCGCTGCACCCGAGGATGCTGAAGGCGTTGAGGCAGGCGAAATGGCGCGAGTCCTCCAGACACTTGGACATCCAGAGGAACGCCACATAACAAAGCTTCGATGATCTCCGCTGAAAGAACTGCTAGGCGGCCAGGCAGTTCATCAAAGTAAGTGCAATGTATTTTGACCCGATTCATATGTGGGTATGACGAAGACTCCCTCCCCAATCCGTCCCCAAGGACTCGAACCTTCAGCCCGCGTGGTTAGGGGAGCTGCATCACTCTGACCGAAAACGGTCGGTTTGAATATGAGACACAGAGGGGCCCCAATGTAAATCCAAAATTATTCAAGTCCTGCATACAGGAAGGCCTAGGATGGGGACCTTGATATGGTAGTTTCCCAAATTAGGGGCACCCCAATTTAGAACCCAAAATGTTATAGACCTTATTATGGAGAGACCCCCCCCAAAAAGTACACGTAATTTTCGACTTGCATAGCCAGCAAGGAAACAGCCTCGACCAATTGGTTTCGACGTGCAGAGGCCGCGGGATCTGGCAAAGGCCTGCAGCACATGTCGCATAGGAGTTTCCACATATGACTAATAGAAATAGCAAAAATGGGAGTAGCCATGACAGTGATAATAATGGACATAATGATATTGTCAGTAGTAGGAAGTAGGAATACGATTAGGAATACGAACTGTAGTAGTAATTCATACAGATAAGGGGGGGAACCTCCAGTATGAAAATCGACATGTTATGGTCCTTCTTACGGAGACGCCTTGAAAGGGACCACCAATTTTGGCAAAAAGTCACAGTGTTCTTGTGGCTTACGAGTATATAAGGCCAGAAACACCCTTTTGCCCACATAGGCCGGGATATCGTGGTATGCGTCATGACATAGGCCTGACCGTGATGAAGTCCAAGCACCTAAGACTAAGAAACCAAAGCATGCAAAAACAAGTCCCAGAAACTTGAGACCCTAAAATCTAGAAAATAGTAGCAGCCCAATTTCTGCACACCCTGAACCCTAAATTCAAGCCATGAAAGCCATAGGCCTTTAACACCTCCGTCCTGAACGTTCTTAAAGTCCCAACTCAAACAGTCTAAAGATGGAAGCACTCAACCCCTGCACCCCAAGCACACCCTGGCTGTTACATGGGCCCAAGCCCTGCAAGCCCCGAACCCCCAAATTCTGAAGCTCAAAGCCCTTCTAGCTATACATCCTACAATTATATGTTATGATATGCGTATACTACAACATATTACAAATATACTTTACCCCTAGAAACGCCAGAGCTTGAAAGCCCCCTAGCCAACAAACCTAGACCCTAAAGACAGCTAAACACGTCGGACCCTAAGCACCCGGATATGCAGAAATTTAACAGAGCGAAGGCCCGATTCCCGAAAAGTGCGATTGGTCACGAAATGCGAGCAGTTGTCATTGCAGAAGCGGCCGCAGTAGCAGTAGTGTTATTGGTAGTACCGGGGTGGTCGTAGTAGCTGTAGGAGGAGGAGTACGCAGTCGTAGTCGTTGTCGTCGTAGGCGAGCCCTCGTAAACGTTGTCGTCGTAGTGGTGGTGCGGGTCCTGGTGACGGTGCTGGTGCTGGTGCTGGTGTTAGTACTGGTGCTGGTGCTGGTGCTGGTGCTGGTGGTGGCGGCGACGGCGTTCGTGGTCGTGGTGGCGGTGGTGGTGGTGGTGGTGGTGGTGGTCGTGGTCGTGGTCGTGGTCGTGGTCGTGGTCGTGGTCGTGGTCGTGGTAGCGGAAGAAGTGGTAGTGGTAGTAGTGAGCAGTTGTAGAGGTAGTAGTTGGCAGTTTCAGTGGTAGTGGTAGTGGTAGTGGTAGGAGTAGTAATAATAGCAGTAGCAGTAGCAGCAGCAACAGCCGCAGTTCACAGTAGTCAATGTTGGCAAGAAGTTGTATATCCTCCTGTGGGGTCGCTGCTACTGTGAGTTGGAAAGAAGTATCACTCTTCGGAGCCATAAAATGCTTTCAATGGCAGGGGGGAAGTTCTCGAAAGGAGTGTTCTGGCCAGGCTGTGGTGCTGGGTGCGACCGGCGGCCTCCTGAAAGGCAGCGGATTTCTCAAAGTGTTGGGCCCACTTTTTAATGCTTGTTTTTTTTGTGTAAAATTCTTCACTGGATTCTGGTGCTGTTCTGGAGAGTGCTTTGAGCACAGCACCAGCAAGCACAAAAACCCAAGATCCTTTGCTAGTCTGGAACAGTTCCACGTACTATCACGCTGCATGCAATATAGTAATACACAGAGGCGAGGTTTCGCGGGGCTTCCACAGCATCTGCAGTTGGCAGCACGTGGTGAGGTGTCACTCACGCTAGACAGTTGTTTCAGCATAACACCGAGCCCATGTGCACAGCTTCACTACTTGCCGCCTTGTCGGCAACCTTCAAGGCATGTACACCGTGCCTATGCCAGCCCTAACGATGTTCATCCTTTTCTCGGGCATTGCCACTTGACGCAGCAAATTAATTTTGTGCGCCATGCTGAAGTGTTCCTTATGTGCCTGTGTTGTGTATGATGCCATATGATGCTTTCTTTTCGGTGGACTTGCAGGAAGTAAGTGCCCAGAGGCCCACAAGCTGGATACAGACTGAGACTCTGCAGCGAAAGGGTTTCTTTTGTGCGTGATCTGATTCAGGACAAGGATATGTGGCGCGCCAATGCTGTGTGCAACTCCGTGGCAGGCCTTCCAACAAAGGCGGGTGCAACAATTGAAGCACCTGAGATTCTGAGATTCGCTGATTATGCTGTCGCATGCATTTTCAGGTGTGCGCAAGTCAGATCCATATGTTCCTGTCACCAGGCATACTATCTTTTCGTAATGGAGAAGCGTTTTGACAAAAGAAGAATACCCCAGCACCTTGGCAACATCTCGGCGGGCTGCTCTAGTGAAACAAAACCTTGGTTGCTGCTACTTGTAGTCGATTGGTCCAAGGCTAACATGGGTGTTGATGCCGTGTGCATGGGGTCTCCGACCTGTGCCGCTTCACCTGAGGTACGTCGCAACTGTGCTGGGAGTGATTTGTGCCACTCCACTTGGCAATTTCATTGTTGCTCGTCTGCAAGTGGAGCGGGCAGTATTGTAGCAGACATCCATGGACGAGCGACAGTTTAGACGAGGCACATCCAGAGCAACGCGTGCACTCCAAACATGTGCCATCAGGTAACAATGTCTGGCTTTCTGTGGGACATGTTTAGGCAGCAGTGGTATGCTAGTCCTGCTGCATTTCGTTTGCATCTCCAGTCGCGGCGAATCAACAAAGAGACGTTCAAGGCTGGCCGACGCTCTGAACTTGACCCTTCATGAGTGGGGTGTGAGACTCTAATTCCATGTATGCCATGCATGCCAGCTAGCACCTAGACAGAGTTGCCCAAAGACATTTACACAGAACATGATTGGCAGCAGCGCCATTTGCCTGTCTGTCCGCAGGATATTGTTCGTGCCTTGACATTCACCGGCGCTTGTTCGATGCTAGCTGGAGACCCGGCATGGCCAGAATCTGTGCTTCACCGCCACAGTGATTGGCCACTGATGCAGCCATGGCGTTGCCAAACCGCTACTGCGCAGAGGGTCCACATTTCTTCCAAGGCCGCCGGGACTTCCGTGGCTGCTTGGGTGGTGCTGGCCGCCTTCAGCTGCCCCTTGCATCTCCACAGTTCTCAGTGTGCGGAGAACATCTTGTGTAAGGGACTTGTTGAAGATTCAAACCTGCAGGCAAAGGTTGCGACGATTTCTCAAATCATTTTGTTGAAGCAATGGACCCACTGAGCGTTGTTCAGAACTTCCGTGTCTGCACGATGTTCCAATGCCTGCCTGCCGCTCAGTTTCGGGTGCCGTCGCCTTTTGCCGCCACCGAGGGCGAGCTGCAGGCTTGGCCATGTCCCGACCGCTAGGGGCTTAGGGTTCAGGGGGTAGGGTTTAGGATGTTCCACTGGTTTGCTGTTAAGGAACTTGAAGTAAGCTACCATAGTGTGAGTCGCGGTCGAAATTACCGTCTACTTCATTCAGTCTAGCCGGTAGTTGTTCTGCAAGAGTCCCCAAGATCGAAAGGGGACGTCCCAAAACAAGAGGATCGATTCATCGAGGCTAAGGTTGGCAAGAAGAACCCCAAAACGTGGAGATGGATGGGGGACGCCCTAACTCAAGAACCAATAGAGGCCAAGCAAGTAATTTTGATGCCACCTCATATTATGGATATATAACAAATAAAGGGGTTTCTTATTATAGAAACTAAGTTCAAGTTCCTTTACAGCAACCCAATAAGCCAAACCGCACGGATGCAGGTGAGGGCCAGCGGCCAAACGTGAGTGGCCCAGTGACGGCACCTGGGGAAGTCCCTGCCGCCAGTATTTGAAGCTTGGACTATTGCTATGGCTATTATCATTATCATGGCTATTCAAAGTAGGATGCTGAAAACCATGGGCGAAGCCGGCGCCCACCAGTACGCTGGCTGCGCTTGTTCGAGGCCGTGTAGCCGTGCAATTTATCGAAGCCACTGTTTCGGCGCTGCTGTTTCCAGTCCCGTGTCAAGTGTGCATGATAATTGCTTACAAGTGTTGATCTTTCAGAAGCAGTGAGGAAAGCCCATTGCAGTGCGCGGTACACAGCTTTGCTGATTGCATTCTTACACAGCAAGTCGAAGCTGTCCCGCCGCATGCGCCTAAGTTGCCTGCTGATTTTCCAGGGCGTAGGCAAGGCAAGCTGAAGGTCGACATTGCTGCTGAGAGTTGTACCTAGACTGGGGGAAGAGGAAACTCTAAAATTTACCTTTGAGCTTCTACTTCAAGGTGCTTGCGCTTTACAAGCAGAAACTTGTGGACCCTGGACCTGCACCTGAACCCTCGCCCCAAAATTGTGAGCCCCTATCCGAATGTTTGAAACTGGCTGCCCTTTACCCCACGTAGGGCTTGACCTCAGCATAGGCATGCAAGGTGCAGACCAGCCTTAGCCAGGATGCTGAAGCCTACACTCTTGGCCTAGCTTTGTCGACGAATCCCTGCTTGAAGCTAGGAATTTTGTACAGGACTCTGTGAGGTCTGCCAATGGCAGGGCAACAGGTGCCAGAGTTCTTAGCAAAGCTTAAAGGGAGGGGTGCTTGGCCTCGACCAAAACAGCATGATTGTGAGCCTTTTGCAAGAGAGTCATTCCCTCATACGTCTTGGAGCCTACGTAGTTTGTCTCTTAAAGGTGTCCAAGCCCTTGGGCGCTATGCTTCTGCAACGCGCAGTGCTGTGTTCCCTGGGCCAGGGCCTTACTCAACCTGAGTCGATCCAGGGATCATAGGATTCCAGATGGCACAGAACGAGCAGCTTGCGAACATGACAGATAAGTCGAGATAGCTCATTGTTTGCTCATTCTGTTCAAAGTCTGGCACATTAGCGCATGATTTCAGAGTCACAATCTGTTTCACAGCAGGCCGTGCTGTGAATACTCTGGGCTACCGAGGTCTGCTGCTGGAGAGGCTTCAAACTCAGGCGCGCCGAAGCCAGCAACACGAGATAGGTCGCATGCAATTGAGACTTCTTTGAAAGGCCGTTAAAAGTTAGCAATAGCATTTAATCGCAGCACTGCCGCAGGCAGGTATCGAAAGCAACAATCACTACACAAACAACTTGAGCCAGCTCGGGCCAGCACTAACTTGACAGTGCAACAAGCATGGCCTGCTAAGTGTGGAAAGCCACGAAAATCCTAAAACTGCCGTAGGATCTTGTATAGTTGAAGATGCATATTTCAAGGGATGCAGAATCCGTTCAGTCAACAGCAAGATTCCGGCAAGGCACGCTAAGCGCTTCCGCAGGAGTACATGAAGTCATGTCAGCCTTGGGGTTCTTGTCGCTGCCCTGCAGGTGCGCGAGACGAAAGAAGATGAAAAAACATAGCGATTGCAGCCAGGTTGGCAAGTGTGGTTCGTGTCTTGAAAGCGAGAGAAGTGAACGGCTAGTGCTCCAATGGCAACTGCCTCGATTCGGCGTTCTCAAGCTTCTGCCTGCAGCCATGGTCTGTCATATCAGCTATCCTAGCCCCCCTCACTCAAAAAAGTGCTATTGCCCTGAAAGCTCGACGACTGACTGCACTTTGGTGCATACTCCTGCGCAACTTGCTTGAAGCAAGGAGTAGCTATCTGTGCAGGTGGTAGATAAGATGCCAACTTCACACTTTATCTGAGCCATGCCATGACCACCTCAACTGGGCTCGTTTGGCTGGGAACCCTAGCAGTGGCATGTCTTGCTATTTGTTAGAAGAGAACAGAGAACGGTTCCTTTTAGTAGCAAACCTTGTATAATCATCAGTACACGCAGTAAGACAGTACTTTCCATTCTTTTCCCACCTTCATTCCTCACTCGCAACCAGCAAGAAGTGGTATCCAAAGTGCAATCCCCGGAGCCCAGTGACATGACACAGCCCTCATGATCCTGGACTGGAGATGCAAAAGCATTAGGCATTTCTGATCTCAGTTGATCTCTCCACCTAAGCTTGTGGGGAGAGTCAGATGCCTAGGCCCGGGTGATCCATCCAATGCCTGGGCCCAGGTGTCCACTTGCATTGATGGAAGCATTTGCAGCTAAACCCATTACGGCCTATAGGCACAGTGCTCTATGCACACATGCAGAGAAGCGTTAATGTCGCACATGCCATCGCTTTGCTGGTGCTAGTGGGCCGCTCCTGCATGTTGTGGTTTGTCTTCGGTGAGGTCCGTCTTAGACTTTGACAAGGCCAGCGGTTGGCCCAAAGCGAAGGGATGCGAGGGCTGGCCTGTTTGCTCTGAATTTGCGATCATGGTAGGGAGCTTGTTTTATCTGCAATCTGTGGCTTTTGAGTTGGCTAGCAGCGGTGGCTCGAAGGACCTCGATGCCAATGCAGTCGAGTTGCCATCGCTGGAGCCAAAGGCCACCCCAGAAGTGTACGCCTCACAAGATCATTTTGCAAGTTGATGAGAATGGAGTGCACTAAGCCTGAGCAGCACAGCGGTCGTAAGCAGACCAACGCTTCCTGCTTGGCCTCGAGAAGGCAATTGGCGCTGGGCTCGAAGATCTGGAATTAAATGATAGCAGGCTGGAACTTTAGCTTCAACGCCCCAACGTGTGTGTCTTGCTGCGATTTTTCTGCAAGGCCTGCCACCCCCGGCAGAATTGCAGTGGAGGCATATCAGCAGCCTTGGTAGCTGTTCACTCCCATTTCAGCGTGATGAAACGCTGCATCCTGCAGTCGCGTGAACAGCTGCCCCGCCTTCCAATCGGAGGCCTGGAACTGGAAGTTCGTTAATGCTCATGCTCGCTAGCTCTTGTTGTAGTTGCACATCAATACCCAACCAGCTGCCCTCATGATTTTGCAAATGCTAATGGCAGGCCAAGCACGAGAACTGGAGTTCTCACCGACAATGGGAGAGTTGGGGCCTCAGTTGCCTGAGTGAAAGGGCCAGGTTGCGTTGAAGACTGTCTCATCTTGCAAGGCACACAACTCGCATGCTGAACCGCGCAGCTTCTACAGCACGCCCCTCCAGAGATTCGCTTTACTTCTGTTTTGCTGTTTCTTTGGCACGGCCTTCTGGCTGGGTCTAGCAATGAAACCGCGGACGTGCAGAGCAGAAATAAATGACGGAGTTGGGATCCTATGGTATAATATCGTATACTACAGTATATTCTAGTATAACCAGCCCGGCAGGTCTTCAAGCCATGGTGAAGTGCGTCTTTCTCCTTGCATCCTGAGATTACACAGTGAGTCCTTGCTTCCAAAATCATCCCAACTTGTCGCTAGACGAAGACAATTGCAGTTGATCTTGTTGCGGATGCCTTTTCTGCGGCTTTTTGCGCAGGATCTGACTTGGTTTCCATCTTGTGTCCCCATAAGCTAACCCTTCTAGCAGAAGTCAGGAGTCCACGCTCTAAATCCCAAATCTACAAAACCTCAAGCAGTGAACCCTCTTCGGGTACTTGAGTGGTACTTCTGCAAGGTTGTTCAAGTATGTTCGTGAAAGGCACTCACTCTTAGTGAGAGCCCTCTTTGTGAAGTCATTTGAGCTATAGTCTAGGCTACCTGAAAAAGGGTTATGTAGGGGATTATGTAGGGGATTACTCCAAGGGTTATTAAGGGGGATACTAGGAGTTTAGAGTATAGTTCATTTGAGCTGCCAAGGTTCGCGGACTGGTGAAGCTCCTGGGCATCGGCGTCATGGTGAGGGCCTGTTGAGTGCTCTGAACCATAGCTATGGATGAACACTGCCAGAAGTCAAAAGGCGGACATCTCCAAATCTTGGGATGACGTTTAGGTTCCTGAATGTTCAGCTATCAGCTGAGATCTTCGTAGCCCTAAGTGCAGTAGTAGGATGCCACGATGCCGGAAATCGTATTCATAACAGGACTCATAAGACTACCGCTCAATTTGATTGGTTCGGAACAAGGGGCAACGCACATCCCAATCCAGACGCCGATCCAGAGATCCGAAACAAGTCCTCGAATTCCGTTCCAGACCCCTCCATTCCAGACCAACGAATCTTTGACGTTGTGCTGGGTGTCCTTTCCATGCCCGTTCCATACAGGTTCCAGACCAAACAAAGTATGTAGCACACACTCGGGAACCGGCAAGAGTCAGTCATCGTTCCAGACTCCAGACCCTCCGGATTACGTGTGCGATCCAGACCCTCCGAATCAGACAGCACAGGAACGTGCGCGTTGAGAGTACCACCAGCATGTTCGTGGATGACATTTACAACATTGAACGTATTCTGTTACTGTCATTGTAGGAGCAGAAACCACGAGGGTGATGAGGATGAGCATAGGTTTGTTGCTGCGTGGTTGTAACAGCTGAGGTTGTTGTCTTGGTGATTGCCATCATGAACTGGTGCACGTCTCAGGGTTCATTGCATCTGCTGGCAGCTCTGTTGCCGCACTTTTGCTCAAGGCCTCCTTGGGTTATCGAGAGCCCAACAGCGAGAGCGAGGGTCTGAGTTGGATTCAAGAAAAGTAAGTGCAATAATTGCTGGACTGTAGAAACAACCCCAATATATGCCCTATTATAATACAGTAGTTTCCATTTTGTTTTCCATTATCCTTTTATAACCCCAATATATATATATACCCTATTATAACATCATAATAATACTGAAAGCAGGATTTCCCCTATGTACCACCAGTTTCCATTTCATTTTCCATTTTCTGCTCCACTTGATTCTCCAAGGGGGGGAGGGTAACCCTAAACCCTACAGATCCCTATATAACCCCTACATAACCCCTATATAACCCTACATGATTGGGGGGTAACCCTAAATCCCTATGAAAATAGTGTCAGCCGCTCATGTTGCATCTGCTCCGATGTTTGAGGTCCAGGTGATGTCCGTTCTCTTTGCTGCGGGGCTCTTCATTGTTGCTGTGGAAGACCGTCAGCATAGTAAAAGCCACCGCTCTGCGCACAATCATGTGCAGATGGGCAAGTGATAGGCAGTATGGGAATCAGGCCCTGAGCACCATGTACATGCCCTCAAAAAGTGGTGTGGAAGTACGCGGCATTTTTCAAGTACAAAAGCGGCAGCTGCCTTTCAAGCTACTCTGCCTGCAGGATGTTGTTGGCATCAACAAATCAGCAATGATGATGGTCTTAGTCTGGCTGGCGAGTTTGCCCATAGGGCTTCCAAGCCATGCACGTGAGCAGTCTAGGACTGTTCTTGTAAGCAAATGCCAGGCCGCGGTGATGTGGACGTTCTTGGCAGTTGGCTACCATCCCAACAATTCGAAGGCTTCTGAAAAACCATCCAGTCCTGTTCGTCTGCATGGGCGCAATTGTGCTGCGTGACATTCCTTTGTTGGCAAAGTCACGGCAGTTGACTGGGAGATAGAACCCTGAAACATGACAAGCTACCTCCTGGGTTGCTCATCTGTTAGAATCTCCGACCCCCAGCCTCAGTCATGACAGTCACGTACAGTGAGGTTTCAAATCTGTTGTTCTTCCGCAAAGCAAATAGATTCCTAAAACACACTGCAATGGTGGGTTCACTTTCCTGCAGTGCCTGTATTGTTCCTTGGCAGAGGCGGGGTACATGCAGCTCCACGAGGAGCTGAACCGCGGGCTGGAGGCGTTCGGCTTCTGCGTGTACTGGGTGATGGCATTCCGGGTGCATCCGAATGCATCAAATACGGATTGGAGCATCATGATAGCAATATTTCTATTTCTCCACAACTCTTCACTGTTGTAAAGTTTGATCGGCATCATCACCACCGCCAGCATCCGAATTCCAAAGCCAAGATCCCGGACAGCTAGCAAGCAGGGCAATTCCTGGCTTGTTGGAGGCGGTGCCTCAAAGCTTTGAATCGCTTGCAAAGGAAGTGGGCAGCGTGCTCTTGTTCCTGCTGCCTGCCATGGGCCAGCAACTGAGATATTGGACACCCCTTCGGGATAGTTATCTTAGAGGGTTACGGAATGCCCCTTCCATCAACCATCCAGAGTGGCCATGTGTAGTCCACTGGTCCTGGTTATTGGACAGCCTCGCAAATGTGTAGTTGACGGGGACCATTTTTGTTTCCAGGAATCTGGGGCTTGTTGCTCGAGGAAACTCCTGCTTATGGGAATCTACGGTTCATACGTGTCGGGGGTCTGAAGGTCTGCTACAAAGGACCGAGACGAAGAAAAAAACACTTCTCTAGGCATCCAGTCCCAAAGCTGTGTCCGAAAACCCCAGCCATTCAAACCGCAATCTGTAATAGCTCAAAGCTGCCCCAAGGACCAATTCTCAAATTCCTCTTTGGAGCATCCAGACAGATGGTCCCGGTCAAGAGATAGCCTTGCAAATATGTAGTTAGCCTTGACCATTTTTGTCTTCTGGAACCTGGGACTAGGGGTTATTAGGGATTGATTCCCATCACTTTCTTGGAGTAACGAGCTCCAGATTCCTGAAAACAAAAGTGGTCCCTGTTAACTACACATCTGTAAGGCTGTCCCTTGCCCAGGACCATTTGAACCACTTGAACTCCTTAAGGGGGTTACATAAGGAATTATATGGGAGAGCTTCTATAGAAGCGATGAAGGGGGATACTTCTAGCTCACTTGTCTGGATGTTCCGAAGATGAGGTCGAGGATTAGGGTTCTGAGGGGGCCGGGCATTCAAGACCTTGAGACAGAGTCTAGAATCTCGCCCTAGGGTAGGCCCTCTTGTATCTGAGGATACCTGGTTGCTTTAGATGAGCTTACCATCTTCTGATGGTGCCCATCACTTCCACAAGCGCTTCCTGCCAATCATCCAAGAAAATGAAATCATTGTTTAGCTTATGTAGTTGTGAGCTAGAAAAATTGCCGGAGGAAGGTGAGTACTTCTCCAAGTGAGGTTCCTATTCAATTCTTAAACATGGGAATTTTTATCTTAGGGAAGCCCAACCTTGGACCCATGAATTTGAGAAATTCCAAGGTGTTGTGGAGTCCATCGACCACTTCGATGGTTTTGCCTTGGCTAACATGGTGGCTTGTCCGCGCTCTGTTGATCCCATGCTCAGATCAGGGGCTCTGTGCTTTCATGTCGGGGGGCCGCGCGACACCAGCTCTGCATTTTGAAGGGATATGGTGGGATCTACTTCTTATTCTTAGCCTTTCATACACACAAATCCTATTACTGGTCCGTATTGGAATTGGAAGTACCTACCACAGGAAAGTAGTTTGTGGGACCTGGAGAAGTACCCCAAAGGCAACATTTGGCGGGCACCCTCAGCAGTTTTGACCGCACTTGCGTGGCCAGCTGCTAAAGCAACCCTTGGCCTTCCTGTTGGATGAGGCCATCCGGCGGGCCATCGAGGGGAGGAAGGACAGGTTTGCATGGCTCTCCAGACATTCTTGACTTGTTTTCATTGCTTAGCGCAGCCAATCTTTGGTCACATTCAACTATTGCTGTATGGCAGGACCGTCTGATGCCCATCATATGCATCTTGACTTTCTTTCTTAGCTCTGTCGCTTTGGCATGTCTTTGCCAAGTTCAGCTGTCACAAAAGAGAACTGGACATCCACAGCTCACGAAGCAGGGATGCAGAGAGTGGCTTGAAGGATGCCCTCTGTTTAAAAGGCTCACTGGCGGTTCGTAGTGCATCTGGAATGTATTGTATAAGGGTTGCATAGGGATTGTATTCCCTGATTCCCTACTAAGAAGCAGTAAGAAAGTGCGGCCAGGTCATTGACAATCTTACATCCACGATCGTTGCCGTGAAAATTCTGCGGCGGCTCGCCTCCGAAGATGAGGCAATGCTTAGCTTAGGTTTGTGGGTTGAACAATAACCAAAACAGGCAATCACCATCCAGCTCAACAGACAGTGTACTCTAGTAAGGCCAGTCACCCTGCCGCTTGGGAAATGGAAGCTGATGCCTGGCAGGAATACAGGCGCCTTTGCGGCGGACTTGCTGTTATTGCAGCAAATGCAGGAGGCCTGGCAATCTGGCCTGCCGGACACCATTTTGCCCCTGCGACGCGCTGTATACAGTGGCGAGACTATCACTCCTAGGTGGAAAATAATATTGCGACATGAGTTCGGGTCCAAACAGGTTTCTAAGAAGAGCAGGAGGAGAGCACATCTGTGCCTTGAAGCCTTAAAGTAGAGGCCTGATCGATCCAGCAGAATGCCCTCCCTGCACTGAAGTGATCTTGTGGGCTGCGGCCAGGTGCATGGTCACCAATCGGTGACGTGACCACCACAATGCTTTGGATACAGCCCAGAGCTGAGCCGTAGCAGATGGGCAGATGCCATCCAATTCAACATTGGTTGAGTCGTTACCGGGCCGCTTGTACTTGAAGTTTGTCGTGTGACGGATGTGCATGTGGCAGGGAGAAGATAACAGCCACAAATACCGTGCTGTGGTTGTTTTTCCCGTCGTTGGCTTAGAGCTCCGAAGCAGCGCTGGCTAGGGTTGTCAAAGCCGACGGCCGTGAGTAAGGTCATTTGCGGCAGGCGTTCTGCCGCTGTGGGGTTTGAGGTCTGCAGCTTGGCACATGGTGAACATGTTGAGCAAGCAACCTCACTTGCGACAAGTAGGCAGAAGCCTGAGTGTCGCAGGTGCCAGGCACGTCGCCTAATAGCCGAGCCTTCACCGGCAGAGCATCGCATCAAGGACCGACTCTTGGGCTGCAGGGTTCATGCTTCAACTGTGCGCGCACTGCAGTCGAGGGCAGGTGCAAATGGGCTTGGTACCAGGCACTTCTGGTTTCTCTGCTCTGTGCAGGCTGCAAGAATTTACAGCTGGATCAGCCAACTTGTTCAACTGTGAGAGACATGTGCAAGCCCAACAGCCGCCAAGCGCAGAGAGATCTGCGAGCAGAACCTGTTATCCATGGCCTGATCTTGCTCTGATGCAGGACCGAAAGAAAGGTCCTGGATGGGAGCAGGCAGCTTGAAGGGATGTGTGAACAAAACATGATTCTCAATGTGGTTCACGATTCGTGTGAGGGCATGCCTTCAGCTCACAGCTGGTTCAGTGGAGCCAGTGCTAAAGTTACTAAAGGCCATTGTTACTGGGTCCTGTATACGGTCGGGTGCTTTGGCTGCACTTTCACTGGTCTGACGGGTTCTAGACAATTAGTTACTTTGTGGAAGCCCCCTCACCATGAAAATGGAGACTCCTCGAGCATGGCAGCACAATCTGCTGCAAAAGAAGCGTGCACTGCTTTCGCACCGCTTGCATATGAAATCGTCGCAACATGCTTCTGATTCTGAGAACAGAGGCTGCTATCTGAACTTGCGGGAACTAGGGCCTGTCCTGACTTGAGAAGCATTCGTGGCAGGCGCATTTGAGCGTGTTCCGCTGATCTTCTAGGTATGAGCAATCGCTGCAAGTGGTGTATGCAACTGCTGTGCAGAGTCAGGAGCCTCTGAAGGAAGCGGGTCTGGAGGAGGACACAGTGGTTGGATGTGACATGCAGCGCGGAGCCAGAGGTGCTTGGATAGACTGCTATCATGTTCGGGCTGTTGCCACCTTCTTCTTCCACGTGGCGGCGAGGATGCTCCAGACCATATCACCAGACAAAAGGCCAGACGACACGTTTCTATCGATGCAGACTTCTAGCGAACTTCTAGCACACACCGTTGAAGCAGGTGTCTGCGCAGGTAGATTGCGGCTTTGTGTTGGTGCTACCTCTTCAAGTCTTGGAACCAGAGATGTTTCTCACTTCAGTGAGCTAAGGGATAAGACGCCCGAAGACAGCTCAGATCAGCTCAGCCTTTGGTGTACGAAGAAATGTTGCAGGTTGTCGCTTTGACATTCGGCGTGCTGTGCATCCTCATGGTGCCCGTGTCTCCAACGTGTCGACTACCATGAACCTGTTGTGCCCTGTGCGATTACAAAAAATACGGCCAGGTACCGGGCCTGAAGATGGGCTGTGGCTTGCCACCGCTCGAGGCTCAGCGATGCTCAGGTTCGCGAAGCGCCACTCAACGCTCAAACTTGCTGATCATTTTGTATATCTTAGCATTGTGCTGTTCTATTCAGGTACCTGGGCATGTTGCTGGCCCTGGGGCTCATGTGGCTCCTGACGGACGTGCTGCACTTCCAGGCCCGGTGCTGCTGAAGCCCGAAAGACCTTTGAAGGAGGAAACCAGAGGCGGCGGCTTACCAAAAACAGAATCTTTTTGCATATGCCGAGAACGGTTGACTGCAGAACTGTTATCATTGCCTTCAAGTACTCAGCAGAGGAACCATGGCTCTGAGAATCTCCTAGATAACATGCAACCTTATCTTGATTCAGGGCCACCTCGAGAACGGAGCAGCCTCTCCTGTTGAAGGCAGGCAGAAAGCTCTGCCCAGCCGCGCTTAAACGGGTATGTTTCAATGTTGGTCCTTACTTGTGTGTGCATTTCCACAATAAGCGTGTGCGTACAACTTCTCACACGCGAGCACCATACAGGGGCGTGTTGCAACTAGGAGGTCCACTTGGATTCAAATTGCACCCGCTGGACCCCATGGATTTGAGTTCTTGAAGATTTCATCGTGCTCCAGCTTCCTGTGCCTTTTTCCTTGGCGAGACCACGGACCGCCGCAGCTCGGCGTGGTCAGTGCCCTGCGCAAGGCAAGGATATGATGCAATAGGCGGTTGCTGCTGGGCGAAAAAGAGGGAATTGAATTGTGTTGAGGAGATGCCTGGGATTCCCAACGCAAGAATTGCAGAGAGCTGCAGGTCTGCGAAAAAATCTCAGGTTGAGGCATCTCAGTTCTGCGTTTTGAGCTGATCCTAAGTCAAAAGCTTTGAGATTCAAGAGAAGCATGGAGCGCGGTGCAGGTAGATCTAACTGGGCTTCTCTTTTTTACTGGTGTGCTCCTGGCTATTGGTGTATCTCGGCTGCACCCGGAGAAGTGCAGAACAAGTGGCGCTTGGAGAGGATCAGGAAAGCGTCTACTGAGCACGGTGGACTTGGGATGAACTGGCAGCGAAGAAACATGCATAGATGCGTTTAAAGGCTGAGTAATGGATACCGAATAACAGGCTACTGGCAAAGTCGAGATTCGAAAACACAATTCTGGCGAAGTGGGTTCTCTGGTTGGAAGGGGTTGACTTTTTTGGCCGCCTCAATGGCAAGAAGATCTGCCATGCAAAGAGGCCCTGAGCCTTCCCCATGATGTCGCGGACGATGAAGCTTCCGAATCATGGTGCTTGTGTGGGACGTTGATGCAGTGCTGAGGCCCTGAACGCCGCCGGGGTCCTGAAAGAGTGACCTCCCCACATGCAGCGTCATTGGCCTTCAGTTTCAGTTGATTACTCAATGCAACTAGCTTGGATGGTGCTGGGAATCCAGTTCATATCTGGAGAATCTGAAGCTGGACAGGAGAGCTTGCATTCAAGTTGCCATCCAACCCACTTAATCCAACCAGCATGATCAAGCATCATCAGCCAGTCGCAGGGCTGTTGCTTACGTAATTCTAACCCCCACTGCCTAATTGTAACATTCCCCATTATGGTATACTTAAATGTTAGGGTGGGACGGAGGGTTGGCAGTCACAGCTAGAAGCGTGTTATCCTTAGTGTGTGCTTGCGGCCTTGCTTGGCTGAGCCCTCACGGCTCAAGCATGCGACCATGACAAAAAGGCTCAGACAGTGAGCTCCCGCTCCAACTCAGCAACCTTCACCATATATAATGCTTATACAATGATACAGCAGTTTCCATCTATTTTCCATTGTCTTCCATTTGATTCTCCATTATTGGGGGTACACGCAATTAACTCCCACCGACCCCAGACAGAGCACTTTGTGGCTTGCAGCTCTTGACAGGCTCTTGACATGCTTTAATTAACAGAAGCTTGGATACAGGCCCGTTTTCCGCCCAAGCGGGGCCAGAGGCAACAAGCACCATAGATACACCGCACCAAACCAAACCTTACCGACAGCTTACAGATTTCATCAGATTTCTACATTTGAGCCACCTGATCTACTGGGGTGGCGCCCATGCCTGAGAGGTCTCACCCAGTTCTTGGGATGTGCGCCGGATGTGCTTGAATTGGCTCACGGTTGTCAGTTTGTATGATCCATTCTGGAACAGCCTGACGGCTTGCTTGTTTTCTTTTGTGCTGATGAGGCCACGATGGATTCTTCCATTCAAGGCTGCTCTGCTTGACGTGATTTTAGGAGTAGACTTGTCTTGTCCTCACACAGACCCTGTCAATGACTACGGCGAGCCTCTTGACTGTCTGCAAACCTGCAGGCGGCCTCATCAGCGATCCAGCTGACTCTCTTGTCTCTGGTTCTGGCTATGGGGATTTCGGAGCAGGACCGTCAGGAGAGCCTGCCCGTTGCAACATCGCTAGAAGGCTTCTGTGTTTCTGGAAAATTCTGCGGTTACGAAGCCGGAGGCGGACAGTGAAGAAGTGCATACACAGACAAGATCAATTGCGTGTGCGCAGGCTTCTCTGGGTATCCATGTGGCTGTGGCTGTGGCTGTGGCCCTGGTTGCGAAGGAGGACAGTCTGAAAGCATCTGCAAGCAACATGAGTGGAAACCGCAGCACATACATGCAGTTGAGCAGGTTTCGGCTGTGGTTGCGGAGGTTGTGGCTGTAATGGCTGCAGCGGCTGTGGCAACTGTTGCGGATGTGGCTGCGGATGTGCATCTTGTGATGGATGCGGCTGTGGCTGCGGATGCTGCAACGGCTGTCAAGGTTGCCCCGGAAGCGGCTGTAGCGGTTGCGGTGGGTGTGGGTGTGGCGGATGTAACAACTTTGGCTGTGGAGGATGCAATGGAGGTTGTAACTACGGCGGCGGCGGTAGTTGCAGCTGCGGTTGTGCCGGCAACTGTGGTTGTGGCGGGAGCTGTGGTTGCGGCGGTGGCTGCGGTTGCGGTGGCGGCTGCGGTTGCGGCGGCGGCTGTGGTTGCGGTGGCGGCTGCGGCTATGGTTGTGGCAACTGCTGCGGCTGTGGAGGCTGGTTGGATGGCGAAGTGCAGAGTAATGGTAGTTATAGGGAACATCAGGCTGCGGCTGCGGTGGTGGCTGCGGTGGCTGCGGCTGCGGTAGCTGCGGAAGCGGCTGTGCAGGCTGCGCCGCAGGTTGTCCTGGGCTCAGTCTATTCACCACGCATGCTCCGTGTTAGCTTACTGTAAGCTGAGCTTCAAAATTGACATGCAGTTGCTGCTCAGTCAGGCACGGGTGAGCGGCGAGTCGGGGTTATCAAAAACTGGACGCTACCTCACACTATTGCCTTTTTGATGTCTGCGCGTTGTGCACAATGTGCGGATGCCCACCGAGTTGAGGAACCACGAGAGAGGCTTCGGTTTCCTTCGCACAGAGGGACTGGAGAAGGAGCTGCAATGTGCGCCAGATTTTGCCAATGCAACGCTACAGGCTGCTTGAACACAGATGGCTGATGTTTGCAGAGCAGTTTGATCGGCAACTGTGTAGCTGGTCTTCGTGCAGGACACCTTCTTTCCCCGAAGAGAGCTACCACCTGAGTTTCAAGGCTGGGATATCCGGCTTCATCCTGCCTGTTGACCTCGCTTGGCTTGTTTGTGCATCAGCTATCTTGCTGACGTGGGGTTAAGAAGTGGAATGACCAATCAGTAGCAAGGTCACGATGTCAGAACACACGCAGCTGCGACTTTTGACTGCGGATCAGCTTGCAGTCGGATTCATCGATACCTTTCAGGCGAAACTGCTTTGAACGGCATCACCTTTGCCTACGATGTTGCAAGTGCTACAGATGGACGGCCTCAGGCGCATGCAGCACCGGCTCATGGCTTTAGAACTGCCGCATTTTTGTAGCTTGTCGGTGAGCCGATGACGTAGCGCAAAAGGGCAAGTTGCAATTGCTGGGCTTGTGAGAACCAAAGCTTGCTGGACAAAAACAGAGCGATCCAACGTCTTTGTCCGGGCAAGGCAAGAAACCTGCAGTTTGTGGGCGGTGCAGCTCAGACCATTCCCACGAATTCACCTGTCAGAGTTGAAGGCCATGCATCTGCTATTGCAGCATGCAGATGCGGCAGCATGACGTGCGTAGCCCGCGGAACATGCAAGCTTTCCATTTGGTAGACACGCCAGAGATCTACACAGGCTTGACTTCAGATAAGAAAGCTCTCTTGCGTCGTTTGAGTCTGGCAGGCTTTGGAAACCGATGTGTGGGTCAAGTGAAGAGCTCCTCTTTCTGCAATCAGCGGTGTTCTTGGTGTGGTGCCTGAAGCCTGGATACTATGCGGTACACGTGTTTTTACATCCCTTTATCTTCTTGAAGCATTTTCTTTACAGTTCTGAAGCTTCGAGGCTTTTCCGGCAAAGGTGGATACGGTGGCTTAGCTGACATTATGGCTTGCATGCCAAGCAGGGGTCCTGGTCTCTTCTAGCCTGCTGTTGTGCAGTGAGGCTTCATGAGCATAACGGCCACTGGAGGCCAGCTGAGAATGGCAATCAATCAGAGGGTTGTGCACTCTACTGTACTCTATCCCGGTTTGCTGAGAGAAATGCCACCTGATACCAGTACCAGCCAGTACCTCATGATGCACTATCAGCTGCTGGGCTTTTCCTCCATGCCTTCTCTTTCTCGGCAAGCTGTTGACTCCTGATAGTCATTTCCGAACAGCAGAGTTCCGGTTGGCCACCTTATGTTTGCAGCTGACATCTTCTTCGCCAAGCGGGATCTTCCAGCTGGCATGCAGGACCGACGACGGAGCATTTGCACATGCCTTGATACCAGTGACCTGTCCCTGGTCGGACCGGATATTCGTAAAACATGAAGCAGAAGAGCAGCAAAAGCCTCCTGCCCCCGTCTAAAATCGCAGAACAAAACCTCATCAAGAAAGTGAGCTGCAGCAAGCCAAGAACAGCAATTACGTAGCTTCCATCTTGTTGTCCATTCCTGATTACCCGGTGAAGGATGCCAATATAAAAACAGTAACAGCAGCAATACTAGCACTATCAATATTATCAATATTATATGGATAAACATACGAGACTTGCAGTGCAGGAAGCCAATTTGATCGGGCTCCAGTTTGAGTTCGACGTTGGCTCCAGCAATGACGGACGTAGCCAGGCCGCGGAGCTGCGCACACTACAAGGTAAATCCCTACAAACTCCTACAGTGCCAGATATAGTTGGGTTATAATTGGGCCCTGGTAATCACTCACTCTGATTATGTATATGTATAGATATATGTACATATCTACTAATTATGATTCCCCCCGGTCGTCATTTGGTTTTCCATTTGCTTGTCCATTACTTATTGGGGGACTATGGTAGCTATCTACCTCAGATCTCAAACGCTTGAGATTGGCAGGCCAAAAATCTCGTATGCGTTGACCCGAGCTCCACCAACTTCGGTGCTGTGGGGCCATCTGGTAAGGGTCATGGCAAAGGTCTGAAGCTCAGGAAGGGTATCCTGGGAGTGATTGCGCGTCCAGGCAGCCAGATTCAAGCAACAGCTCAAATATCTTCGAAGCTTCCCACGGTCAACACCGTTGAATTTTGGGCTCGCTCGAGGAGCCTTGGCTTTGAAACGTCGAAGTTCAAAACAAGACACAGGTCAATCAAAGCTCTGCTTAGGCAGGCCTGCCAGTGCCACATTTACCTCATCTACCCGTGTCATCTACCTGTTGGATAAGATGAGTATAAGATGACCGGAGAACAACGTCAGAGAGTCATGCAGAATCTTCCTGTGCCCGTCCTGTCTGCATAGAGCCTGCTGGCAGCCATGGCGGACCCGGACCAGGGGATGGTGAAGGCCGCGGTTCACACTAAACCACATGATGCGAAGCTTCCAGTCTCAAAATGCTGATGTGTAAGCAGTGTTTGTGAATCATTTCCTCCCAAAAAGCCCATGCAAAACCGGACCCAGAAAGCCTGTCAAGCAACACAAACAAGAGTGCATCATCAGCCTTGCAAGCCAGGCCATTTTCTTGGTGGGCCGTGGTGGAGGAGGCTTCCGAACGGATGAAGTCCGCGTCTGCATTGCCATGCCATGCATTGCCATGCCATGCCATGCCATGCCATGCCATGCCATGCCAAAGCTGGTGCTCTGGTGTTGTTCCAGGGCATATGGCAGCTGCGAGGGCTCTTCAGCAGTGTGCGCAGATCTCAGCTGGATTAGTCCAGAAGGCAGTGACCTTCAAGGCACCTCAGAGTCGATCCCCGTGCATCAGGTCCTGGACAATGCAGAGTCGGTCATTGTGGCTTGTCGGCAATATAGTAGGATGTACGCGCTCCGCAGACAAAGAGTGCCAGCGCCTCCTCCTTGGCAGCTGTCCGAGCGATCTCATTCGGTTGCCCTTATGCGTGTGCATATCACGCAAAACTCTTATGATGCGATAGGGCTGGGTAAGCAAGTAGTCCTCATGGCTTCCCTCATGGCCACAAGCCAAGACAGAACATTTGATGCCCAGGACTGCGTTGAGATTGTGGACGGCGGAGGCAGGAAATTGCACCTGCGGACATTTGCAAGTCAGCAAAACATTGCAAGATCCTGTTTGTAAGTCGTGGTCAGCTGTAACGCTCTACCTGTCAGGTGCATCCTTTCCGTAGCCTACTTACAGCATTATTCTCTGGCCAGGGTTCACCATGTTTCACCGATGAAACGATTGCATCCACAGCCGCAGCCGCATTCAGTCAATTTCAATTACCGAATTTATCTCTTTTGTTGGCAACCATTCGACAATAAAGCGGAAGCCAGTCGGTTGGGTGATTGTCTGGCAATGTGCAATCGGCAAACAATTTTTCGGACACACGCTAATGCATCAATTGAATGGAAGAGTAGTCAATGCAACTGTAAGGTCGAAGTTCTTATATGGGCTTGAGTGTATAGAATTGACTTGCGCTGAAATCTCGAAACTGGATATAACAGGAAAAACGCCAATCCCATCATTGCATTGTTTGACGCTCTGAGGAAACATCGCCAAAAGCTAAATTGAAACTTTCTGGTACATCCGGAGATCATGAAGCTCTGACCCATTGAAGCTAGGTGGTATTTCGTTCAGACAATCTACGTCCCAAGGCAATTTTGTCGAGGAGGGTTGCTAGTGACATGTGCAGACGCAAAAAAGCACCTAGAAGGACCCAACGCCTTAGTCAATCTCAATAATACGAGACGGGCAAACAACAGGTTATTCAAAGGCTTGATCCTTTCCAGTGCCAATGCTGGCGCACAAAGGCTATATGCCTCTTTCTGGTAATACGTGAGGTAAGCCCATCACGGTTGATGTGCTGGCTTCGTCTGAGTCACATGAGCCATAGTCTAAACTGCACAAATCCCCCCTAATGACCCCTACAATACTCCCCTGTATTATGTAATCCCCGATATAACCCCCATAATACTCCCGCGTATTATCTAATCCCTATATAACCCCCTTGAAATAGTTTCGGCCATAGCTCACATGTCCGTACATGCATTTTTAGCCTCTGGAGTTCAGTTTGCCCAGTTCTAAAAGTGAGAGCTCGCAGTGCCAAAAATAACCCCCATATAATCCCCGTAGAATCCCTATACTTTCCCAGTAATTACGAATAATCCATACATACCCCTCATCCCAGATTGGTCTTCTTGAGTCTGCGGCTGCCTTGCACTGCCTTGTAGGTCTAGCCGAGCTGGCTATCTCCGGAGACATGCTTCCCAGCGGTGCCGCGGGATGGGAGAGATGGGAGAGTTGGGAAAGCCACCTTTAACTGCACAAAGCCCCCCCCGCCCTCCGCGCAGCATGGGATGCTGTGTAGGCAGCATTGGATACTTAGCGACTCTGTGCATCAGGATGCAGATATTGCAGCACTTGTGAAGACTGCTCCTCAATCTTGAGCGCGACAACAGGTGACGACATCTACAACTACTTCATGCAGATAGGGTTTTACACGGTAGCTCGTTGGCACTTGATGGGGTTCAGAGTTGCAGGTTGCTGCAACTCTCTGAGCAGTTGTGACCTGCAGCCCACGAGACTGAGCTTTCAGACTTTGTCAGCCCTGCTAAGATGGCGGGAATGTTGGGAAACATCGCTGCCTTCGGCATCCGCATGAACCAGGCCAGGTGGTTACAGGGCAGATCATGTCAACGGAAGATCCTGTGGAATGGTCCCTTCCTAGCAGCTTTGCCGTGGCTGATGTCTAGATGGATCTACACAGCATGGCTGCTAGCATGCCAGGCAGCAATAGAAGAAGTCTTTGAGGCTGGGACCCGCAGCACGGTGGATTCGGATATTGTGTAGCCCCACCTCACTTGCACGAAGAGATTGCAGTTGGATGTTCCTGGCGCGAAGCATTGTATGCGCGCCAAGTGTCATGGACTAGTCAACAAGAATGGTGAAGAACGGTTAGGTTGTATCCGGAGCAGGCTCCGCTTAAGGATGTCATCCGGCTTCTTCAAGTGGTGTTGGCGATGCATTGGATGGAAGCAGCAAGCTTTGAAATTTGATGGCGCCTTGTTTCTGAGGGGCGCATGAAATGAAAGAACTCCTTAAAGGGTTGGCCATCAATCTCTGCAGGAGTACTGGCATGTCAAAAAGCCATCCATTGTGGTTTCCTTCGCGACGCTGCTGCAACTACTTTTCCATTTTGCCTTCAGAGCAGGGATGCACCTGTCTCGGGGAGAGCTGAAGAAGGCCTCTTCAGTACCACCAACATATAAGCTTAACTGGAATTAGATCATGATGAGACTGTTGCAGGCTCCTGACATGTAGAAAAACACAGTTTCAACTCAATGGCAGAGCATTTGCTCATGGTAGGAGGTGATCACAGGGCCCAGGAGGTGAAAACCCATTGTTTTGGGACCACCGTGTCGCAAAGCTTGGAAGCCCAGGTTCCTTTCCTCAACCCGGCAATGCGAACTTCGCTGCTGCGAGTTCTTCCTCACTGCCGGTTTGTCACGGTTATCACGGACATGGCAAATTGCTGCTTGGCGGAGAGAGGTTGTCAACCAGCTGGCTATTGGAATATCAGCATGTTCCTCACTTTTCTACCTGAGCCACATGAGCCTCCACAGCAGCTACTGCAAGTCCAGTCAGGTCGTGAGCATCCTTGGATAGACCGACATGACGCAAGCGCAACTTGGAAGCAGCTGCTCTCTTGGCTTCCATAGTTGTCTGCAGTTGTCTGATACTGTTGAAGGCGGTGAATCACACCATTGTGGTCGGGAACGAGACTCTTGAATCTCAGGCAAATCAGATGCACGTGTGCTTGATTTACCGGATTTACCTCCGACACGAGGTTTGCATCTTTTCTAAGGATGCATCTCAAATCTGCCTTGAGCAAGACTTGGCGTTGCAGGGATAGCATGATGTTATGTTGTGCTAACTTGAGAACTACTTGCGCTGATTTTCTGTAGCACACCACACGATGCACATATCTTTGTCAAGATCTCTTGCAGTACAAGCCGGTGAACTTTCCTTGGAAGGCAATGGAGATAGGATGGCCATCTTCCGCACTACTACGGACCTCAGGCACAAGCTGACTTGCTGAAACCAGTGTAGATAGTTGACTTCCCAATCCGATGAAACTTGAGAAGGGCCTTACGCTGGAAGCCACTCCCTCATTCGCATTTGGGTGCTACAGGTTCCTGTTGTTTCAAAAATGGAGCGATGGTCCTGTTGGTTACTGCTGTTGGTGTCACGGTGGCAGAGGGGGCCGCAGCGTCATCGGCAGCAGGACAGCAGGATTAGCAACAATTGTCGACAGAACGCCAACTTGCATGGTGATGCTCACTGATGAATTCTGGGTCCTTGCATGGTGAACCATAGTAGCATGGCTCTGCCGGTGGGTTTCATAGAGTTTCAGAGCTTGCCATATGCCTCACTGATTGGCGCTGGACCATTGCAACGCTTCAGGCATGATCATTCACCCGAACTTCTACGAGGCGAAGGCCAAAAACCACGGCGCCACGTCGAAGGCAAGGGGTCTTCCATGCCTTTGGCTTGGCAAAACAATGGCAGCACATTGCAGCTAATGGCTAATCTCTAGCATGGCAAAGCATGGAAAAGGGAAACCCTGTTGAAGCCAAACCAGGTGAACACAAGACACGTGTTCGAAAAATCGACCTGACTGGGCTAATGGCCCTTTACATTTCTGTACCTGATATTTTGATGTGCTACTCCCTAGTTAGACCCCAAAATGCTATGGTCGTTGCTATATGGACCTCAAAGCAGGCACCCCTAGTTTTGGGGAACTCCCATTGGAGCCTTTGCTTTACTGATTCCAAAGTCTGGACGAGCTTGCAGGAGTCTCTTTACAGTCTGACAGATTCGGCCGCCAGTTTGGCTTTTTATTTCCCAGCGACTCTCATTTATGATTGGGTAGATTTTGGCGCCCTGTTGTGCATAGTATTGAGGATTTAGAATCTCTCATGTAATGTCCTCAAGAAGAGGGAATTTATGATTGGTGTAGTGATTGCAAGCCTTCGCATCCCACGCGCAGACGATGGTCATCTTCTTCGGGGGCACCGCGCCCATGCGTGTGGGGCAAATTGCAAGAAAGCTCTCCGCGGCACATCCAGCCACCTGTCTGCAAAGAGTTCCTAGATTTGGGCTCGCTGCTTCTTCGGTCCTAGGGAGATCTAGCAGATTCTAGCAGCAGCGTGCGGAAGTTGTTCATCACATTCGAGAGACCAAGGAAATGGAGATCGTGGTTCTCTGCCATGCTCTTACTGCCCTCAAAAGACATGCGCACAGGCTTGCTGAGCTGTAAAGCGGCTGTTCGTAAGGAGGCAGGTTTGTCATTGAAGCAAAGGATCACCCGAATACAAGCACTTCATCACCAACCTAAGGTGGAAGGAATGCTGAGCTGCAAGGGCAGCTGCAGGACTCTCTCAAAGTTGCTCCTGTGACGGCCGCTTGTGGTCCGACTTCTCCCTGCGTTGATGCTCAGCCATTGCAGCCCTGAGTAGGACTTTGTCCAGCAAGGAGGTGGGCGCCACGTCTGAGACTCTGCTTGACTTCCAGTCCTCCAGAACAGTCGTCTGATATTCTTCCAGGAAGAATCTTGTTGGGTACTGTCGGCTGCACAGCGTCGGCGATGCCGTGCTATGAAGTCAGGTTATGTTGGCTGTCCCAGGTCGTAGAGGGCTTCGTGAGCTCGGACAAAGTTCGCGACTACTTCGCAAAGGCCATGCAGCATAAAGGAACAGACGTCAGTCAGCTCACTTTTTCATGGTTTCAGCTCTCGGGCTGCTTGTCTTCTACAGGCGTTTTGCGTGCTGGGCAAGGCGGGCCCAGGTGTAGCTGCAGAGGCTGGTTGGTGTGAAAACAGACGGAAAACCTCGCCTGTAAGCGTCAGAGCGTCTGAAGGCAATTGCCTGTGGTGTTCCAATGCTGATCGAGAGCGCGAACGTGATGCCGCAGGAGCAGGCGCTTTTTTGAAATTGACCTCAGAAATAGCATGTCTTCTCATGCCAGGCACCAGTCTTGTCATGCTTGTCCTGGCTGAGCAAGTGCATGGCTTCATAAACTTGGGCCTTCCCCTTCACCAAATGTATTGTGGAACCACTGGTCGGAGTCACAGGCTGCAGCTTCACATCCTGTCCTGACCCGTTCAGCCTGTGTTGGACTACCTGACCAACTCCGGTGCTGGTCTGGTGGTCAAGGACTTTTCTGGTGTGCAGTAGAGCAGGGTCTGATCACACCAAAATTCCTCGACAAACACCGGAGATGGAGCAACCCTGTTCAACACATACTCAGCTCTTGTTGTACAAGGCTACGTGTTCGAAGTCTGGTCTACGCTGGGTAAGTTTGCAAGTAAGTGGGACTTGGTACTCGGTGCTCTTGCGGCACCAGCGCCAAGACCTGCTACGGCTAAGTCTTGCAATCACAAGCTGGTCATTCCCCCCCTTTAATAATCGGTCCTTGGGGGGGGGGTGTGACTGTGGGGCCCACCTATTTTAAATAGGTCTAGGACCTATTTTGGGAACAGTGGGGGACTGTTCAGAAATAGGTCTGGCAGAGCATGTTCTGCAGTCAGCATTGTCCGCTGAGAATGGCTTTGGGAAGCCACTAGGGTTAGGAAATGGGTCTGTGGGTAGGGGTTGGGTGACTGTTTCCCTATCAGGCCCTATACAACTGTCATAGCACCCCCCCACCCCCAGACCTATTTTTTCAGTTTCGTGATTTTCTTAGTGTGAGGTTTATACCATTGTCTTTCTACTACTACTGCTGCTGCTACTACTAGAAAAAAGAGACCTTGCAAAGTAGTGACAGCATGGATGATGTCACCCCCCGCCCGGCAAGGAGGTAGTGATTATGATGCATTTGCGGCAGCTGCTTGTGTGTTTCTACAGTGACAACCATGAACTGGAACAGTCCCTTGACCCCCCCTCAACATGGGCTTTGCCGTGAAATAGGTCCAGACCTATTTCTGGACGCTCTCTAAGCCCCCCCCCACATCCCCCCCCTGATAAAGAGGGGGAATGCTGGTCTTGCAGACCCTCAATGACTGAACCCTCCATGCTAAGCTTTGGAACGTGGAGAGGACTTGGAGAATCTTCCAGAAGAGGCATGGCTGCAAGCCAGCAGCTCTTGGAGTGCCATTTGGGTGTGGATGAGCACAGACTCGGTGGCCGAACTCAGGATCTGACCCAGAAGGCCGCTCGGTCCACTCAGCACACGTGCAGCCACATGCCCGCTAGGTGTGCAGTAGCTCATATGGAGCTCCAGGATGTGTCTTGAAGAAATGCCCCCAACCAGTGAAGATTCATCTGCTTTGCCTGGACAGGTGGATGAGTGCCGGAGCGCGATCGCCGCCATGCCGGCCAACAATGCCGTGTTTGAGGCACCTAGCAGGAGTCCAGCACTGGTTCGTCATCTGCCACGGCACCCTCTTTCTTCTTTAAGCCCTGACATCCCAAACTGGAGTAGCTTAATTACCTATCTCAAGACTGCAAACATCAAGCCGACGCTCCTTCCTCAAGCCGACAGGGCACAAAGCTTGAAAGCTGGGCATCTTGCGCACACCGCTCCGAATTCATTCGTACGGTTTTCCGTGCCATGTGCTGCTGCATGGTGAAGGTGGCGAATCATCTCGACAAGCTTGTCATCATGAGCCTTGCTCTTGCAAAGTTAGTTGGATCTCATATGCCATCTGCCGCAGAGGTAGCGTAATCCGCCCAAACTCAGCTCCATGTAAGACTTGTTTGTTTTTCAGCTGTGAAGAAGCTAAGGAACAGACATGCTGGTGACCTCGAAGAAGCCTGCGAGCGGCTGCTCGCAGCAAATTGAGATGAAGGAAATAATAGGATCCGTCTAACGAGACGAGTGCTCAGTAGATAAGGAACAGTCCTCGCAACAGTAAAAGAGGAGGAGGAGCAGGAGCAGGAGGAGAAGGAGGAGGAATGAAGATGCAGCGTAGGTGTGCGCAGGCTGATCACACTGAATCGTAGTGGCAATCCCAGTGCGCTACTAGCAGCGGAGTTGTAAACAAGGATGGTGACTGGTGGTCAGTAGGTAATAAGGGAATATATCATGTAGGGAATTGCATTCCGTTATTCCCTACTAACCTGCAGTAAGTTGGGCTATGGCCTTTTAGGGTGGCGTGCCCATGCCCGTGAGCCCGTGGTGCCCGTGAGAAGCCCATGTGAAGCCCGTGTGCGCCTGTGAGCCCGTGGGGTGCCCGTGCGCTTTTCCTATCCCTCTGGAGTCCCTTTATATGGGAATTTCATGAGTTGTCTTGTCCCTTCACATGTGCTTCCACGGCTAAGGACCCCCCTTCGGGAGGAAGGTGGGCATTGGTCTCTGGTTGAGTTTTTTTTGGGGTTTAGGGTTACTGCTTGCGGTTGTAGGACATTGTAGGGTAGGAAAACTGGATGACTACAGGCCGGTTGGTGGTAGAAGATGCCAAGTTGATGAATCCACATTTTCGGACATTTTTTGCATGTTTTAGGAATCCAGCCCAGGGTTTAGGTTTCAGGGCTTAGGGTTCAGGCTTAGGGTTTATTGTTCAGATCCCTGATGTCAGGTGGCCAGCGGCCAATGGTGATTGGTGCACCGATGGAGGTGGGTTGAGGACAGTTGGGGGGTTTCCAAAAATCAGGGAAGATTAGAGGGTCCCGATAATCATAGAACATGGTCTGTATTCGGGTCCCACTGTTTATCGGAACTACCATGTAATGCCCATAAAATCCTATGCATAGTAGCTCCGGCTTAATTCTATATTGCGACGTACACCCTAACCCCAAACCCTCTCTAAAGGAAGCTAGGGTTTCTGTTTCATTTATTGTTATTTGTTCCAAGCTGTGGAACGAGTGTTTTTTTTTGTTCCACGTTTTTTTTGTGCTGCGTATTCTTTCTGTTTTTTTGTTCTGCGTGTTTT